CAACCCACAAAAAAACCCTACAAAATTTGCCCCACTTTTTTTCCCCGCCGCTGCCCACTCGCACACTTTTATATTTTCCCTCATCTCAACACTTTTCCACCTCCTTCGGCCCCCCACAATTCCCCCCATTTTTCGTTTCTAGGGTTTTCATTCTTTATCGTCTTCGATCTTTGGTTTTCCCCTTTTCCGTCTCAAACCACCATGAGCAAGCCCGTTAAAGACAGCTTTGCTATGTCCGACCTGGACTCATCTCTCCCCGCCGCAGCCGCTGGTAATTTCACCTGTTTCACGATTTCTAACTGTTGGGTGTGTATGTATTTGTATGTATGTATATGGGTTCTGATTGATTGCACGATATTGATTTTCTGTGCAGCTTTGAGTGCTGCGGATCGCGCTGGTTTAGTAAACGCCCTCAAGGTTTTCGGGTTTTTTTTGGTTTTAGACATCAATTGTTTTTACCAGTTATTTTTTGTTGGTTGAAGTTTCTGAATATGCTGTGTAGGATAAGCTGAGCAATCTGGGCGGGCAGGACGTTATGGAGAAGCTGACCCCAAAAGTGCGGAAGCGTGTGGAGGTGCTTAGAGAGATTCAGGTTTGGGTTGATTTATATGTTGTGTCTGTACGCTACTTTTTTTTGTTAATAATGATATATTTACAGCCACAGAAGATGATATGAAGAGTCATCTTGGGTTGCTAGTTGTATTATCACCCTTGACTGCTTACTAAGTACAACAATTGTGTGCAGTTTGCCGATTTAGTGTTTGTTTTTACTCGGGTTCAGTTGTTTGTTTCTTGTTAGAAGCCTTATTTTTAGTTATGCTTGGTTTGTTACGGTAATTATGGTGTTGCTTAATTATGGGAAGTTCTTTATTGGTTGTTGATATCTGATATGTAAGAGCTCTGAAACATATCTACTTAGGCCCTTTAACCTTTTATTTACTGGGGCTGTTTACTTATGTCTTGGGCTACATTATTTGACCTTCCTGTAGTACTGTTCAGCAATTTTGGTGCTAGTTTTCCATTATCCACCGGATTATACGCAAAAAATCTCCATTAATGGTGTTGTGAGAGTAGATGGATCTAGTGAAGGAATAGTTGACTCTAGTCAACTGACCAGGCTAATTCGTAGAACACAGGCATTGTGGTTGTAGAGACTAATTGTCACATTTGAATCCCAGATAATTGCAACTATGAGGTTTCTCTAGCTCAGGAGCACATGACTCTTGTTGATATAACATCAATGTAATTTACATTCCATTAGTGAGTCTATATTTCAAGATAGAACGTATTATTGTGGGTCATGGGAATCATTGTTGTTGTAGTCGTCTAACATGACTACTCATTTACAGGGCCAACACGATGAGCTAGAGGCAAAGTTTCTTGAAGAGAGAGCAGCACTTGAAGCAAAATACCAGAAACTTTATGAACCATTGTATTCGAAGGTATGACAATTTCATGAGTTAAATACTTACTGTATGCTGCCAGAGTGAGGATTCTCATAACCAATACAATTTTCTCGTTCTTTTTCCTATTGGAGGTTGCATTATTTTGCTCTCTCTCTCTCTCTCTCTCTGTATCTATGTCTATTATCAATGCTATATCTTTTCTATATATATATATGAGAATTTGTCATTTTTTACTAGTGGCATGCTATAATATTTTTTTTTTAACACTGTGCAGCGCTTTGAGATTGTTAATGGGATTGTGGAAGTTGAAGGGGTGTCTGATGCTCAGGGAGGGGATAAAGCAAATAGTGGTATAACATGACTGACGACTTATCATCTGTATTTCTTATTGCCCAATTATAGTTGAATAACAATTTCAGAATGTGCTCTATGCTCTGCTTATCTTGATTTACCTCAAGACTTTTTTTGCTTTTGGTTTGTGTACATGACAACTGGTGTTGCTAATATTTAACAATCTTCATCCCAGATAAAGGTGTGCCTGACTTCTGGCTGACAGCAATGAAGACAAATGAGATTTTGGCTGAAGAGGTTGCTTTATTAAATTTTTAATAAAAAAATAACTATTTTGCGTGTTCTCTTGATTGTGCTAAAGATTCTTTGCATTGCTATGTTTAGATTTCAGAACGTGATGAAGAGGCTCTGAAGTTTCTCAAGGATATCAAGTGGTCTAGGATTGATGATCCCAAGGGGTTCAAGCTCGAGTTCTACTTTGATACTAATCCTTTCTTCAAGAATACTCTGCTTACAAAAACATACCATATGGTTGATGAGGATGAGCCAATACTAGAGAAAGCAATAGGGTAATTGGTTTTCTATCTCTTAGTTGTTCTAGCCTACATTATTTTGTTTAATTTTCTTTTTCCCTTCTTCCCCTCATTTGGAAAATTTGCTGATTTGTGTTTAATTTGTATCCAAACTCGGACACATTGCAGGACAGTAATTGAATGGTATCCAGGCAAATGCTTGACCCAAAAGGTATTGAAGAAAAAACCAAAGAAGGGGACAAAAAATGCTAAGCCAATAATGAAGACTGAAAAATGTGAAAGCTTTTTCAACTTCTTTAGCCCACCAGAGGTTCCGGATGATGAAGATGAAATTGATGAGGATGAGGTGAGTGTGTGGTCATTTTCCCGCATGCTAGTTTATCATATGAAACATGAACCTGTTTAGTACTCCCAATGTGTGCTCACATCTTCTAATCGGGTTATATATGTCTTGGTAATAGGCTGAAGAACTTCAGAATCTGATGGAACAAGACTATGACATTGGGTGAGTCTCGTGTTCTATTCCATTAATAGATTCGCAAATAATTGAATGTTCATGAAAAATCTATATCCCATATTTATCCACTAATTTTGTGTTTATGCCAACTTGCCTTTTACCTCTGTAGCTCAACTATCCGGGATAAAATTATTCCGCATGCTGTTTCGTGGTTTACTGGTGAGGCTGCACAAGATGATGATCTTGAGATGATAGAGGAAGATGGTGAAGGTGGTGATGATGATGAGGAAGATGATGATGATGAAGAAGAGGATGAAGACGAGGATGACGATGACGATGAAGACGATGAAGATGATCATCCTGTCAAGTTCACAAAGAAGGTAAATAATAGATCAATCTAAAAGAGAATTTCAATTTTATTTTAACTATGGAATTTTTTTCGGGCTGATAGATACTTACATTTGTTTTTCTCTCTACCATGCAATTGCATGAAAAACTTCAGCCTTCTCGAGCAAAGGTATAGAAGTTTCTTAACAACTTGTCTGTAATGGTTTTATTGTGCTTATTTTTATTTGTCTTGCTGATCTTTTAATTTTACACCTTTGCAACAGAAAGGTGGGGCGGGACTAGCTGGTGAAGGTCAGCAGGGGGAACGCCCTCCTGAGTGCAAGCAGCAGTAACAAGGCTGCGGATTAGATAGCTGGATGAATTACCAAATTTACCCTTCCATGCATTGTTTCTGTCTTTATGGGTTGGCTTTGGTTTTATATGGTGGTTTGAGTGGAATTTATTTTTATGTGGGAGTCTTATATTATTAGATGATTAGATGATGTACTTTATTTGGTTTTGGTTCTTTCAGTATCTATTGTTTGATGATGCACTTGCTGAAGGGATGTGGGTTTATGTAGTATAAGAGCCGAGTTGCTTCTATGAGTTTTGTCTTTGGGGAAAAACCAAAATTGATTAATGGATGAGAAGATGAGATAATATTAAGTTAATTTTTACAGTTAAAAGAGTTGATGCAGGTATCTTTGGTGTCTTTATCGGTTATGTATAACGTATACAATCCAAGCAATGATCTTTATACTGTTCCGAAATTATTCTTTTCATCTCTACCCTTTGTAAAGTATGATTTGTATTTTTATTTTCTATAGTAAGGTAGAGGAGATCCTAAGTCCAACTAGATATTTATATTAATATTTGTCTATAGCATCATTATTAATTAATTATCTTGTAATCATTGAAAGACCTATAAAGGGCAGTATATCAATATATATAATTGTTATAAAAAAAAAGACAAAATTGCATATTAATCTACCACTTTTTATAATTTTGCTTTGCAAATTAATACACTATCTCTACCATTTTTGTAAATCGATACATGAATGACAGTTCCATTAACAGGAGACATTGATGTAGTTTAATGCCATGTCAGATTTCCGTTACATATGACAGTTCCATTAACAGAAGTCTGACATGACCTTGATGTAGTTTAATGCCATGTCAGATTTTCGTGACATTTTTGTTAACGTACCGTTATGCATGTATCGATTTGCAAAATAGTAAAAATTGTGTATTAATTTATAAAATTTCAACTGTAGTGATTAAATTGCAAAATCATAAAAGGTGGTGGATTAATATGTAATTTTGTCTAAAAAAAATTAATAAAATTATTATGTTTTCCTTTTTTTTGTTAATCCGATAATATTTTTTTAATAATAATAATATTTTCAATACTTTTTATGATAACTAATAAGTTAGGATCGCTCAATTTATAAAAATTACATTATCCATTTCATTTTATGCAAGAAGTTGAATACATAATGTTATTTTTTACTAATGATAATTTTTTTAAAATGTAAGATTATTATTTAACTTATATTTTTAATATTCTATACATAGATATAACTTATAATAATTTAAACTTATGTGCATGTCACTAGTTAATAGTTAAAGGTAAAGTTCGATAAAAATATTATTTCATTAAATTAAGTATCCTTCAGGATAAAACCCCTGTGGCATTCTCAATCCATCTTACCTACACTTTCCGCCATTTTTTCAACGCATCGTTCCAAAATCTGTTCGGATTTTAGCCGGAGAAAAAATCGAAATGGCAGTGGCGGTGTATGCAGCTCTAAGTTCTCTTAGCCACACCATAGATAGACCACAAACAAATCACTCGCGCCCTCCAATTTCTCTTGATAAATCACACACTAAACCTCTGACCGAAAGTCTCACTTTCTTGCTGGGCTTTCTCGAACACTATCCGTTCGATCAAATTCAGGCTCATGGGAAAAATCTGGTTTTTGATGTTGACTTGTTGTGTCAACCTCAACACAAAGTGATAGAGGAAATGGATCTCATTAAGAATGAGGTTGGGCTACGATTCTCAAGACTATGATTGGAAAGAAATTCTTTTGGAAGTGTTGCTTTGTGAGGGAGAACTCAAGCCGAATGAGTGAAAACGACTTAGGAGACAAAGTATGCAAAAGTTTGTCGGGGAAGAAGGTATTTGATTGTTATGGATGATATATGGAGCATTGAGGCTTGGTACAACAGGAGTAGAATATTGATAACCACAAGGTCGTCAAACTTGGCTTCACAGTTGAGTGGCTGTTGTGGCTTGGAGATGAGTTTTCTAGATGATAATATATTTTATAAAAGTGGGTTTGGGGAAGAAGGTTGCTCTTCCAAACTGGAGGAAATGGGGAAGAAAATTGTGGAATGCTGCAAAGGGCTTAAGGAGATTGAGATGAGTTATTGTACTGAGTTCCCTATGATTTCGGCCCGTTGCATTATGCAGGTACCAATCAGGTCTCTTGCTGTCTTACTTTGTACCACTACTCTTAAGATTGTTAACTAATATTTAGTGTTTGAGATATTGTATATGGTTTACTGAGTGATTTTTTTTTTTTTTTTTTTCAATTGTTTTATGCAAATCACATGACAGTTTACAGTATCTTATATCTTGTTGTTAGACAATACATATTTTTCTCTTACAAGTATTTTCTCAAATTGAATTCAACTTTACCATCACTTAAGAATTGAAATAATAATTGTCTCGTGCATTGCACGTACGCCCTAGTTTATTTTGATATGCTGTAAACATATACTTTAATACTGTACTCGGTATTGTATTAGTTATTTTATAAGCTCGAAACAACCATAAACTGAAAATTTACTGGAGTTGGAATAAGATTACTAAGATATTAATTCAATTATACCCTGAACAAATAAAAAAAAATAGTGCTACACAATTACATCAACAATTTTTTACCATTTTTTTCCCCTTTAGCCAGGTTATCTAGACTGCTTGAAAGTTTAGCACTGACCATCATAGGGATCCCAGACTTGGACTTGAAAGTTAGCACTAGTCAGGCTCTCCGGCACTTGGTTCGACTCAGATAGATTAACTGTCACTCTAAGGCCCTCATCGTTCCCGAGCTCCTCTTGCTCCTTGGCTATCTCCTTAGCCGATATCACCGCCGAGTCGCTGCAATAGCTCACTCCAATCGAAATTAGCGTTGATATATGTCCGATTTCCAAAGGAATCTCCTTTAGATTAGGCAAATCACAGAGAACAAGGCGCTCGAGGTACGGAAAGTGGGACCAGTCGGCCATGATCCAATCTTCCAGGTCAGGACAAAAGCAGACATCCAAGACTTTGAGGCTACTGAACTGGCCTTCAACGGTTTCCCACATGGATCCTTTGCAGGACAACTGATTCAGAAGGAGCACCTGAAGATGCGGCAGATGGCCGACCTTGGCCGACAGCTCTTCCCAGACGAGGTTGGTGTTTTGTAAGGTCAATTTCCTTATGGAAATCGGGAACACGAGGCCCAGAGCCAATTCCTCAGGGACGTCATTGAAGTCGCAATAAAGGGATTCCAGCTCATGCAGCTGGAAGAGATTATCGATTGCGTAATCATCACACAACGAGGACAGTAAATTCAGCTTCAGCTTCAGTTTCTTGAGATTTGGGATTCTCCTGACAATTTCCTCACTCCACTTGGAAGTCCATACGGTCTTAAGCGTCTGTAGGTCCCAAAGGACTCCGGTAGCATCATGGCTGGTCGGGGGATCAGCCAAATCGAGTCCATCGATTTTGACGTGCCTAAGTCGGGGCATCCTCCAGATGTCGAGTGATGGGCAATCGTAAATATGATCAAGTTGTAACGTCTGTAAATTCCAGAGGTGGTATAAGGAAGAAGAGAACAGGCCGGTGTTTCGGGCGGGGACCACAAGGTGGCGTGAGTTGACCAGGCGAAAAATATCTTCTAAAGGATATGTGTATATATTATTATAATCTTGGATCCAGTGAAACACCCTCAACAATGGGAAAGGACTTACTCCCCCGACATTACATATCAGAGAACGAGCGAGTGTTGCAGATCGCGCCATGTTATGGACTTCTCGGGTGGAGCGTTCGCTACTCGATTCTCGTCTCAGAATACCTATTCTTCGTTGAGTGTGCCAGTTTTGCCCTGTGTTTGGACTATTGGTTGCCGCCAAAAGGAAAAACCTGTCTTTCTCAGCTTCCTTCATGCACAGGTCCCTCACGAGATCATGGATACGACAACGTTTTATATTTCCATCATATCTCAGCTCCTGAACTAAAACTAGATTTCTTCGGACGAGATCCTTTATATATTCTTCACCAGCTGCCTCCATGGTTTTATCACTAATTGGTTTCAGAAACCCTTCTGCAACCCACAGTTTGACGAGTGTCGAGGCACTGATCAAGTCATCCTCAGAAAATATTCCCAGGTAAAGAAAACACGGCTTTAGATGAGCCGGCAAATGGTTGTAGCTCAAACGTTATATTCTCAAGCAATGTTCATTCTCATCTAAATTCACCACTGAATTTAAATTTTTTTCAATGTATTGCCAGTGTTCTCTTGTTTGGGTGGAGTTTGCCAGGTGTCCACCGACCACGACGATTGACAAAGGAAGCCCTTTGCAGTCTCTAGAAATCTTCTTTCCAAGTTCTTCCAATTCTAGAGGGCAATCGTGTTCTCCAAACACACTTTTTCGAAACAAGGTCCAACTGTTACCCTCATCTAGAAAATCCACCTTAAAGCTACAAGTGCAGCCCATCTCGTAAGCCAAGTTTGATAGCCTTGTGGTTATCATTATTCTACTTCCGTTACTGTAATCTGGAAAGAAGAACTTGATCCTATCCCATGCCTCGATGCACCATATGTCATCCATCACAATCAAGTACCTTCGACCTGATAGACTTTTGTATAATTTTTCTCCTAATTCATACTCCCCCGTTTGTCTCAAGCTTTCTCTGCTCCCTACAGTTTTGAGGCAGACAAGGATTTCTACAAGAATCTCTATCAAATCATATTCTTGAGAAATCGTAGCCCAACCACGAAAGTCAAAGTGTTGCACAATAAGCGGATTCACATATATATTCTTAGCAAGAGTGGTCTTACCAATTCCACCCATGCCAACAATGGGGATGATCTGGCGATTCGATTGTTGTCCGGTCAGCTTATCCAAGGCTTCAAGCAAGACATTATCGTGACCCACCACGGCAGCTTGCGTTTGGGGAGGAGATCTCAGCCAGCCAGCTGGCGTCGAATAATTTCTTTCCACCTGTGCTCTTTTCTGCTTCATAATCTCCGCAAGGTCTCCCTTGATAAAATCCAAGTCTTGCAACACTTTCACTAAACCATGATACAAGTCAGTGAGACTGAATTTTTCCTCGTTACTCGTGGCTTTGCGTTTCTCCTCATTATTGGCATTTGCAGCTTGAATTTGATGGACTACATGGGAGTCTATTAAATCCTCTGCTTCATAAGCTGTGTCAGCTATACGACCCTCCAAACCCTCTGCATCGATGGAATGATTCTCGAGAAACTCTTGCAAGAACGTAAGTTTTTGAGTGGGAGATTGAATCTGTGTTGTGTGGAAAGAAATTGGAGGGGAAGGATGAGTTTGGATTTGGTTTATGGTATGCTTAAGAGAGAGCAGAGCTGCATAAGCCGCCATCTCTATTCAAATGGGTTACGTTTTGTTGTTGAAGTTTCAGAAAATGACGATTATATTTGTGATTTCTCAAAACTTTGGATATACAGATTGAAAATGGAGATTTGTCCACATATGTTGCTTTACATTATAGAAGATGACTGACTATATTTGTGGTTTTGTTAAAACATTGGCCCACACCTCATCTTGTTTGTTCACGAGTCATTTTAGACTGCTACTATGTATCACTGGAAAACCCAAATGCGACTAAAGGGCTTATTTTCTGAATACCAAAAACATAACCTTGGTTGTTTCTAGACGAGAAGGGGTAGCTCGAGTTCCAGCCATGCAGGGAGCAAGTGGGGAACTCCTATTGATCTTCTTTTTGAAAGAGAGAGAAAAAAAAAAACCTTGGTTGTTTCTATCTCACAATTACACTAGTTTTGGAAATATTACTTTTTTAACGGAATACAAGCATGAAGTAGGTGTTTGTGAATTGTGATATCTACCACTGTCAAAACAGGTCATGGCCCGCAATCGTGGGTCTATTTGGTCAGCCCTGTTCAGTTCGCTGTCCAAGGTGGACCCTGGTGGGTTGGACCACGGACCAGTCCAATATTATTATATTTTTAAAGTTATTTTTCATTCTAAAATTCACCAAAATTTTATACTGTTGCATAACAATTTACAATATCCCCTAACTTTTTTTTTTAAAAAAAAAAAAAAATAGATTTTGGTCGAGTGAAAGTGTTTACTATACACATAACTAACAACCCCTACTTTATACTGCATTTATGTTAAAAAAAGAAAAAAAATCAACTATTATTAGCAGCAAAAACTCACTAAATGAAGAATATATTCCACACCAAAACTTTTTTAAGTGGCTAATTGCAATTTCCAAGGAGCTTGTTTGTCAAATTCAAGCGTCTGCATATTGAAGCGTATCCTCCAGAAGTCGAGTGATGGGCTGTCGACAAGGTAATGTGTTTGCTGCTACTTCATTCTCTGTCTCTGAATACCTATTCATTGGTGTAAGGCTGAAAGCCCTACTAACAGCTCATATTACTTGAAAGTTCGCACTAGCCAGGCTCTTCAACACTTGGATCTTATTGTGCAGCAGCACAACTCTCACACGAAGGCCCTCATTCCCCATCTCCTCTTGCTCATTGACTATCTCCTTAGCCGATATCACGACCGAGTCACTGCAATCGTTCACCAAAATCAATTTCATCGTCGGTATATATCCGATTTCCAAAGGGATCGCCTTTAGATTAGGCAAAGAGGTGAGAACGAGTTGCTCAAGGCACGGAAAGTGGGCCCAATCCCCCACCGTCCAATATTCCAGATCATGACAGGAATTGATTTCCAAGACTTTGAGGCTACAAAACTGGCCTTGTACGGTTTCCCACTTGGGCCCTCTGCAGGAATCCCAAATCAGTTTGAGCACCTGAAGATGCGGCAAATGGCCTACCATAGCCGCCAGCTCTTCCCAGGGGAGAAATGTGTATCCTAAGGTCAACTTTTTTAAGGAAATCGGGAGCACGAGGCCCGCAACCAGGTCATGGAAATTGAATCGTTCTGGGACCCAATAGAAGACACAACGAAGGGATTCCAGCTCACGCAGCCGGCATAAACTATCCAGTGTATAATCATCACGTGACAAGGATTTCGTGTACCCTAGCGATAAACTCAACTTCTTGAGATTTGGGACTCTCCTCACCATCTCTTCGACTCGATTGGAAATCAATACGGTCTTGAGCGTCTGTAGATCCCAAAGGACTCCGGAATCGGAATTGTCATGGGTGGTCGGGGGATCGGCCAAATGGAATTTAAAGATGTTGACGTGCTTCAGTCGGGGCATCCTCCAGATGTCGACTAGTAATGGATAAATATGAACATAATCAAGTTGTAAAGTCTGTAAATTCCAAAGGTGGTAGAATGAAGGAGCCAAGCGGCCGGTCTTCAGTAACCGGGTCGGGACCACGAGGTGGCGTGAGTTGACCAGGCGAAAGATATCTTCTAAAGGATATGTGTATTCCGGAAAATGATAATATTGGGTTTGGATCCGGTGGAACACCCTCAATAATGGGGAAGGGCGTAATCGGTCGACATTGTCATTACATATCAACGAACGAGCGAGTGTTGCAGATCGTGCGATGTTACGGACTTCCCGGGTGATGTGTTTGATACTTGATTTTCGTCTCTGAATAGCTATTCGGCGTTGAGTGTGCCAAATTTGCCCCTGGTTAGGACCATGTGTTGTTGCTACACAGAAGAACATTTCCTTCTCAGCTTCCTTTATGCATAAGTCCCTCACGAGATCATGAATTCTGAAACGTTTTATATTTCCCTTGTACCCGAATTCCTGAACTAGAACGATATTTCTTTCGGAAAGATCCTTCAGGTACTCTGTGCCAGCTTCCTCCATGGTTTTATCACTAATTGGTTTTAGAAACCCTTCCGAAACCCACAGTTTGACGAGCGTTGAGGCACTGACCAAATCATCCTCGGAGAATATTCCCAGGTAAAGAAAACAAGGCTTTAGATGAACCGGCAAATGGTTGTAGCTCAAACGTAGTATTCTCAAGCAACGCTCGTTCTCATCTGAATTCACCACTGAATTCAAATTTTCAGCAATATACTGCCAGTGTTCTTGTGTTTGGTTGGACTTTGCAAGGAGTCCACCGACCACGACGATTGACAATGGAAGGCCGTTGCAGTTTCTCGAAATCTGCAATCCAATTTCTTCCAAATCCGGAGGGCAATCATGTTCTCCAAACACACTTTTCCGGAGTAAGTTCCAACTGTTATACTCATCCAGAAAACCAACCTCAAGGCCACAAGAACCGGTCAACTCACGAGCCAGGTTTGACAGCCTAGTGGTTATTACTATTCTACTTCCATCATTGTAATCAGGAAAGAAGAACTTAATCCTATCCCACGCCTCGATGCTCCACATGTCATCCATCACAATCAAATACCTTCGACCTGATAGACTTTTGTATAATTTTTCTCCTAATTCATGCTCCCCCATTTGTCTCAAGCTTTCCCTGGTGTACTTTAGGCAGACAAGGATTTCTACAAGTATCTCTTTCGAATCATATTCTTGAGAAATCGTAGCCCAGCCGCGAAAATCAAAGTGTTGCACAATAAGCGGATTCACATATATATTGTTAGCTAGAGTGGTCTTACCAATGCCACCCATGCCGACAATGGGGATGATCTGGCGACTCGATTGTTGTCCGGTCAGCTTATCCAAGGCTTTAAGCAAGACATCATCGTGACCCACCATGGCAGCTTGAGTTTGAGGAGGAGATCTCGGCCGGCCAGCTGGCGTCGAATAATTTCTTTCCACCTGTGTTCTTTTTTGCTTCATAATCTCCACAAGGTCTCTTTTGATCAAATCCAAGTCTTGCATCACTTTTTCTAGACCACAATTCAAGTCGATGGGACTGAAATTTTCCTCATGGCTCGTGGCTTTGCATAAGCCTCGAAAGAATCTAATGAAACTGATAAATTTGCCCTCATTACTGGCGTTTGCAGCTTGAATTTGATGGACTATATGAGAGTCAATTAAATCCTCTGCTTCATAAGCTGTGTTGGCAATACGACCCTCTAAACCCTCTGCATCGATGGAATGGTTCTCAAGAAACTCTTGCAAGAACGTAAGTTTTTCAGTGAGAGATTGAATCTGTGTTGTGTGGAGAGGAATTGGAGGGGAAGGATGAGTCTGGATTTGGTCTATGGTATGCTTAAGAGAGAGCAAAGCTGCATAAGCCGCCATCTCCAATCAAATGGGTTACGTTTTTTAGTTTGAAGTTTCAGAAAATAATGTTTTTTTGTGATTTCTCAAAACTTTGGATATATATAATGAAAATGGAGATTTGTCATCATAGAAGATGATTGACTATATTTGTGGTTTTGGTACAACATGGGCCCACACCTCATCTCTCTGTTCATATGAGTCA